ATGCTTCTCTAGTGGTTTTGGGTGCGATGAAAGGTAGCTCGGAAGAGAAACTTAGGACCATATTAGGTTGGCTATGCATTAAAGAACACTTCACTTAATTGATTTTTTCTAGTACGATGAGTAAACCAGTGGGGATTATTTTTTACAGATCCTCCTGTACACTGTCAGAATCTGCCTTGTGGCTTATCATTAAAATTGCCGCATATATTATTCGTCACTAGTAGCTCGTGCCCTTCATTTTGTGTACTTATTTAAACGAATCATGGAGATCCCACGTAATTGCGGACAACTTATTTGAAGAAAAGCTGATTTTAAGTTTTTTGCGTATGGGTTTTGATATTATCTTTAATTCTACAATAAATCCCGTTGTAGATTAAAGTTTTTTTTAATAGTGTAATTATATGTTTTCTGTGATGGTTCATTATACTTTCCTATAAGTTGAATTCCACCTTTGTACATTTAAGTTTATTTATTTACAAATAAAAGCTAACAAAACACTTAATAACGGGGATATAAATGAAAAATATATACTGACAACATAAAAGAATAGTGAATTCTCTTCTAAATAACAAAAAAATTAGTGAAACAAAATAGTTTTTTCTTTTTTACGAATCACTGAAATCTGAATTAGACTGATCAAGACTGTCTTCATCTGATGGCATCATTAATGAAGCATCATGCGCAGAAGATTGTGAAACTGTATAATTTGGAGCCATTTGAGATGATGGATAATCAACACATAATTTCCAATCAGCACCCGGCACATTTTGATAGGTTGTATTCGATACGTCATCATGTGAGGATAATGTATATATCATTCCGTCACGAGTTGATAAATAGGAACCATTTGATGAGTCATAAACATTTCCATGGTTGTTCGAACTATTACATGGAGTTAACACCGTCATATGGCCTATATCGGTTAGTAAGGGTGTACCATCAGGAGCAATCGGTTGCATTGCCGACATGTCTACCATACGGTGACGCTAAAAAAAGAAAAGAGAAGTATTTTGCAGTGTTTCACTAAGTTTCCGTACCATTCGCTACAATTTGTTAAAACTCTCGTCTACTAGAAACGTTGGGTTTTGCTCAATTTTTCAGAACATACTTTATCAGTTTAGTGATTATAGAAAAACTTTAAATGATACCGATATGTCATAAAATCGAGTGGCTATTTTAAAGAACTTATTCATTTCTTACTTCGTTTAATTGTAATATCGTTTTTACTCCTAAATATGTGTATTAAAGTAAGTTGAATTTAACAGTCTAGAACATTCGAATGTTCTCTCTTCTTTTTCTCTATAAATGTCTATAAAATATAGACACGAAGGTTACAGTTTACATACAACTATATGTTTTATCCATTACTTTTAAAAATAGGTGTTTGTATGTGTGCTTTTAAAATAATTTGTCATTGACCCTGAATAATGATTATTGTCAAAAAAAAGACCAACAATGAAATATTGGATGTTTTACGCTATAGTACTTACTTTATCAACTGAATATGTATTTCGATTTTGTGTTGCTACACTTTTCTTCTTATCTTTGCATCGTTTATTTTGAAACCACACCCGAATAACCCGACTGTTTAGGCCGGTCATATCGCACAGTTGTTCCTACAAGAAAAAGAAGCGAAATGACTAATATATCATTATAAAGAAAACGGTCCTACTTTCAATAGCGCATCAGGTCTTGGATTATAAGCATAACAAGATTTTAGAGTATGCAGTTGTTTTTCATTTAAAACTGTTCTCATTCGTGCTTGTTTGTCACGACGTGGACGACGTTCAGCAGCTGTTGAGTGATTAGTCGGAGACATTGGAGGAGAATCGGAAGATTTTACAGATGTCTGACTTTGATTTGACGAACAATCACCATTTGATGTATGAAAATTGATACTTGTGTCACCTATCAATAAAAATTGTTGAAGAAATTGATTAATATTCTCTCGGTTTCTCTCTCAAGCAGCTTACTTGAATGAGATTTTTTTCGTTTGACTAAATTTTCATTTGATTTTGTTGTTAACGGTTCTAATAGTGATTCATTTTTTGGTATAATATTTGAGTTGTTTTCAAAACAATCGATGGTTTTCAATTTATCAGTGACAACATTATTTTGACCAGTTTTAGTTTTGCTATTATTATTGTTATTATTATTATTATTATTATTATTATTATGATTATTATTACTATTATTTGTCATTATTGTTTCATAGTCATTACGACATAATAAACGATTGTCACTTAGTGCATATTCGTCACCAGTTTGCAAACATTTACTACACGCTTCACAACGAAAACAATCAAGGTGATAAACGTTTGTTCGTGCGCGCATTATTAAGTCATCTTTATTCAAATATTTTTTACACGAATAACAACGGGGAACAAATAGTCTAAAAAAGAAAAATTGAAATATTTGAGTTCAAAATAAAATAATTTTTTCTCAAATAAGTGATGAAATGAGACATGCAACAAGATAGAAGATATTTTTAGATAACTATCATTACCTTTGATAATCTTGTTTGCAATATGTTGAACCATTGCGAATATAACATGTTGATTGTTCATCTAATTTTTGTTGACATTCTACACATCTCAAACACTCAGCGTGAAATACTATTTCAGGTGCTACACATAGTACATAGCGATCAGTAATATTTAATTTACATGTCGTGCATACAGGCCAAGATGTTTCTAAAATAGAAATAATAAAATGAGTTTAATATAGCAATAATACGAACATAAGATTAAATACGATCATTTTTTTCAAATCAATATCTCGTTTAAAACTCATCTTACAATTGATCTGATAGTTTCTCAAAAAAATAAGGGTTTATTATCATTTGTTGTTTAAGATCTTACTAAAGTATCATAGACTCTTAAATATGTACAAGAATTAAGTAGATAATGATAATGAAAAACTATTTTATCAAAAATTTGTGTCCTTGTTTTTATGGGACTATAATGATCAAGTAGTGTTTCAACGAAATGATACATTTCGACTTGGATTTTTCTAATAAATAAAAAAACAGAAACTAGTATAAATTGACGACGCAATTGTAATTGAGCATAAGCCAATATCTCATCGCTTATTAAAACAAAAGAGAAATAACATCAGTGTTTTATTCAACTCTGTTAATATCTAAATTAGATGAAGCATTTATGTCGATTAAACATGTAAAAATTTCTTAAAATGTTTTAAATTTCAAATTTATACTCTAATTGAATCTCTCTATTTCAATTGTACTAGATCTTGCCTCTACATCTGTACAAAAAAAACAATTTAAAGTAATATTTCTCACAAAAGTTTTGCGTTTTTCAATTAGACGCTCTAGTCATGTTTGTCTATCTCAGTTTTTATCGGTTAGTCAATCGTAACATCACATAGATCTATGAGAAATATTATTAAGAAGGTTTATACATGTTTTGAGGAAATTATTGTACTAGAAATAATAAAAGTTCAAGGGTAGTCAATGAACAATGCTTTCGTTTCCAGAGGGACATCTTATTCTTTCTCTCATTGTATTTTTTAATAATCTTACTTGTCATCGTTGGAATATTCATTTGATTTTTTCGTAATGAATAACTAATTAAACTTGATTCTTAAATTACTTGTTAATTAGTACAACGACTTGTTAAGTTTTGATTAATTAATTTATGAAATGACGATAAAAAAAGAAAAGCTCACTTTTTTTTTTTTTCTTATTCTTTTTTTTTTTTTCTTTTTATTCTTTTGCTTCTTTTATTTGATTTTCAAAATGCTTCGGGGGCAAGTGAAATATATTTCGTTTTTTTATTTTTGCTTCTCATTCGTCGCTGAAAAAAAAAAGAACACACGCATATTTTAAGAAAAGATCGTTTACTACACATTTTGTTGACTAATCACATCCCTATATATCCATACCACACACGTGTAACAATCGATGTACACATATATACACACATACATACACATCTTGAGTGTTCATGTTTACATAAAAAAATGTAAATAATACGTTTACTTTTATCGTGTCGCATTTGCCATTTTAAAAAAGAAAATTTCTTCTTTTTTTTTTTTTTTCGTATATATAATTACAGAGAAAAGAACAAAAATTTGTTGATAGACCAATCATAATGTACGATATTGATCACACACGATTGTTATAAATTTCGTTTGTACATATCTCATCCTCGCTAACATACATATATATATATGTATATATATCCTCGCATTCTCCAATCAATTTTTTCTTGTCTTTCTCGCTTGTATATTGAAATTGATATATATCTTAAAAATTAAAAAACAACAACTGTACGTTATGTTTTGTTTTAAAACATCTATTACAAGATCAAAAAGACAGTATAAACTATATGTTATAAACTAAACAATTAGTATTAAATATATATGTATGATAAGTGATCTTTTTTACTCGGCTGATAATAATAAGATATAATGTTCACTTTAGATCGGTAATTTATCAAAACATACGAAACAAGTTAAAAATTAAATTATCTACGTAATTATTGGACATTTAGTTTCTTGTTATGTTCTAATATAAAAATACTTATGAGTATACGATAAAAATCAACATTTACTAATTGTCGTATCAAAGAAGAGTCCCGCGCTAAAGGAAGAGATAATTTCGTCATATGACTATAGACTGTCCCCATATAACAGGTTTTTGGTCTTTGAAGTGTAAGAGTCTTTTTACGAGTTTGCAAAACACAAAAATCTTTGTTATCATTCTAGAAAAAAATTCTTTTATATACACTATATAAAAAGTACAATTTTTTTTACTGAAAAAATCTTTTCGATAAAATTAAAAGTAATAGATCTTCTTTTCGTTTAAAACAGTGTCATTTTTTTTTTTTAGAATTGTTATGGATTTATTTGAAAAAGTCATGAAAAAAAAAAAATGTCCGTTGTTTATGTCTGCAAAACATTTTTTTTTCTTCTTTTACTTTTGCACAAAATGTCATCAAGTATTGTTTTTTTGGACGTGCGTATACGTATAAGTTTCCTATTGCGTTAGAGGTATTGTAAGTAAATGCTTGAGGTATATTGAACAGAGTGTAGAGAAGAGAAGAGAAATACTTGACAAGACGAATAAATAAGAACAAGTTGAAGTAGATACTTGACAGGAAGGACGGCAAGTCGTATACGAGATTGTTTATTTGACAATAGGAGAGAGGGAGAGAAAACTTCCAACAAAAATTTTTTGTCTTCTCTTTCTTTGTAAAAGATTCCGACACAACAACGACAAAAAACTGGTATTGTTATGATCGTCGTTGGAAAAATAACATAATCATTCTCATAAACAGAATATGTTTTTATAGGTGTTATAAGTTGAGAGAAAGAGAAAGACGTTAGACAGGTTTCTACCCGTTTTGTCCTTCTTTCTTTTTTTCTATTTCTTTTTTATTATTTCGTTTCAAAAATTATAAGACTTCTAAATGAAACCTTTGAACATTATCCTCATAATTGTTCATGTTGGAAAAATAGAGAAAGAATAACATTATTAACTTGAACGTTAGTTTTATTAATTTGAATTGATTTTCGAAATCTTAAAGACTACACATTATTGATTTACTATCGTTTGATTGTCAAGTGGTTGAGTGTTGAGATATAACTGAATCTTGGATGACAATGTTCATTAAGTGATAAGTGAATCTTCTTAAAAGGATTCATTACTATGATAAAAAACAAAAAAAGTTTCCTTCTGGCAATATTTTCAATCTTTAAACTCTAAACTATCTTTATACATATACACAAGTGTAAAAGTTTTTAATTGATCCATTAGCTGAAATTATCTGTGATGATCAACAAGAAAAATCTCTTAACAAATTCAATGATATAATTCAAAAAACCTAGAAAAAAATAAAAATAAAAAAAATGTTTTTGTGTACTTTATATATAGAAAAGATGGAAACAACAACGTTGGAAAGAATGTGATGATGACAGTTGTTGTTAGAAAAAGATGTGAATAATAAAATGTGATATGTGGATATCTATTAGCACTATTTATTAGCTTTCACTCTATATTGTGGAGTACAGTGTTGAACACATGTCATTTATATAGGAGAAAATTTTTTTTTTATCAAATACAGAGTGTGTGTGTGTGTGTGTATGTGTACGCAAATAAATAGAATATCATATTAGTTCAAGTAATGCGCTATAATATAAACAACACCAATTTTTAGATTCCCTCCTCTCTTCTACGATGTATAGATATATACATTTACACAAAAGATAGAAACAGACAGAAATACATAATCAAAACTGTTAGTCAAATATATAAACATTGAATTATATCTGTCATCATTGGAGAAAAAGAGTTTATTTTCTCTTTTGGTTTTCCTGCTCAATTAGAAATGACATTTATTCAGTTTTACGGTATAAAATAGCTTTCAGAATAATATATATATATATAATATATTTAATGATAATCATTTTAACACGCAGATCTTTTTAAGACAATTGAACTGAATTTGATTCTTTCATAGGAGAGAGAAAAAGATATAAAACTATACGAATGGTATTGATCAGTGGCAATTGTTTATTGTCTACTATAGAATATCATATACAAGAGAACATATATGTTTATTTTTATATTTATAATTTAGCAAAATATTTTTTCTTTATTTCTGAAAAGATTATTTTACTTTGATCTCATTAAATATATATAGTTTAATTTGTTTAAATGAACAGTATAGAAGTTCTCTCAAGTGTTATGTCATATTTTATTAGAACTGCCCTCTATGAAGTCAACTATTTAGTCGTAAAATCTACTATATAAACAATGATAATGTTCACTAATTGAGTTAAATTATCTTTCTAAAAGGAAAGTATAAATGGAACAAGAACGTGACAAAAAAAAAAATTCTTTTTTGTTTTTATTTCGTATTTGAAGAGAAGAGGGAGTGTTTCAGATGAGTGGATATAACGGCACTTTAATAGAATTATAAAATGTTCTGCTTCAACAGTTTCTTCTTTTATTAAACAAATGTGTTAATGTAATAACACCAAAGTTATCTCTCAACTAAAATTGGGATCAGATGTTTAATACACCTAAAATCATCATCATTATCAATATAGACAATTAGATTAGATAATAACAATAAGACACGATAGTTAGACAATATATCAGTGTTTAAGATCGAAATTCAGCGCTTCAGTGAATATCCTTATTATAAGAAGAGAAATCGAGTTTAAGTATTACATATTGTATCGAGAATATACTTCTGCAACGACTGATTTCTATGTACTGTTAAGTCTCGTACAGGTATACATCGGTTCGGTTAAACCGAAACCGCAATAGCCAACGATCGGTTATACCCAAGTAAAAACGACCCAATTTTTTCGTTTATTTATCTAGATTCAACTCCATGTGTATCTAGATGTACGCCGAGCTGAGTCTAGATAAATAACCCAAAAAATTGGGTCATTTTTGCTTGAAATAACCGAAACCGAAATAACCGAATATTGGTTATAACCGAAGAATGATTATTAACGACTACACTAGATCTATTGTAATACAATATGATCAAATATACTGCTGAACATAATGTGAGAAAAATACTAAAATTTTCTATATGTTTCCAAAAAAAGAATGCGTTTACAAAGCAATGGTATTGTTTTGTATGAACTGTAGAAGTTCATTAGAGTACCTGTAAGATTCTTATAGTCTTATTTCATGTTTCGAAATATACAATTGTCCATATGTTCATAGGATAAATAACCACTGTCCAATTCGTTTGTTTTTTTAGCTAATTTTTTTTTCTCTCTCTCTTCACTCTGTATATGTATATGTATAAGATTTAGAGTAATGTTGATTTATCTACTTCATGTATATATATATATATACATTCACATAGGTCCATATATTATTCCGTAAACATCGTATCTAAGTAGTTTTTAAGAGTAGGATAACAGTACATGAATATGTCCCTATAAACAGAACTCACGATTACTGTTTTACTTGTTGATTAAAATAACAATGAGTAATATATAAGTGAATAAAATCACACATATGATGTAACATATAAACGACTAGTTATAAATTGACATTGAATCATTGCAGCTGATGATAATTATTATGATTTCTCAAATTTTCAAGTTGATAAAAATATTTATTTCTCCATATGTAATCTAGTATAGGTATATATATATATATATATATAAGTGTTTTTTTCTAACTCGTGTTCAACATTACACAATATAATATATATCAATATTTTGATATTTTCTATATATAACGAACAAGAAAATCGCTATAGGATAGAGAGTTTAATTTAATTTCTATCAAAATCAATAGAAAGTCAAGTAAGAGATTAGAACCCTGTTGAAGCACTTGTTCTTACGAATTTTCAAATACTAAACCTATCACAAATAAAAACAATCCACATCCAAGACAAAATAAAAACCACCAACGTTTACATCAACTTACGGTCATAATAAAGTCGCAAATGACGATTGATGACCAAAGACTGTTATACGTTATCGTATACGAAGAATGTAATGAAAATGGACAGAGTTTTGTGACCGTTGTTTATACAATAACGTATAATGTTTGTATGAAATAGGTCAAAAATCGTCGTCTACGATCTGGGATAATGAAAAGATTATTGAAGTTATCATTTGTAATATACTGAAAATTTCTCACACATAGTAAAAGATTTAATAACTAGTTAGTTATTATGTTTTCTGACTATCGACAAATTTTTTTAAATTTGATTTAGTAAATTGAAATATTCATGGGTTTATATTTCAACTCTTATTTCATCAAACTCCTCTGAATTCATGCACTCGATCGTATTGTATCAACCACTTTATGTTTTATAATTTTGTACTCAATAGACAAAAGCTTGTTATTGAGATTCTTTTAGAGAGAAAAAACTTTGATAATTTTAGAGTTGTATCAATGCCATTTTGACTTTTTTTTATCTATTCATGAAAGTCTTTGTAATCATTTTTGTTGTTTTTTTTTTTATATTTAATCATAAGCTCAATTGCAAACCAGGAAAATATTCTTCTGGTAAAAAAAAAGAAGCCCCATTGATTCATTATATACAATATTCATCAATCACAGCTTGATTGAATTAACGATAAACTGTATGATTATAAATCCATTCTTTTGTAAACGAACGAGAATAGTGAAACAATGCCCGATCAAGCAAAAAAAAAAAAAAAGAGAGTAAAATATATATTTTGTTTAAACATATTCATATTTTTACATCCCCAAATCCCTAATTGGCTTTGATCTCGCGGAGATTCTGTTTATATATACGCTGGTGAACACCCGACTATTTAATTGAATTTGATTAAGAGATGAAGATTGAACAGATGATGTGAAAGAGAAAGAAACGAATGAAATTCTAATTAAAGATGACATATTCGGAAAAAAAAACGAATTATTATTCCTAAACTTGTTACATTGTTTTACACGCGTTTGTTAATGCATGAAGACGTTTCTCTTCACTTTCTCTATCATGTTTTTTTTTTCTTCTAATATTATTATTATTATAGTAGACAAGATAACATTTTTATTTTTTATTTTTATATATGTACGAAAAATGAAATTTTTACAGTTTATTGACCCCTTTTAGTCAGGATTAAAGAGCAAATCAAACATGAATGTAATATTAGATCAATTTATGGAAGGAAAAAACAATTTTTTTTTCATAGAACATCATAAAATCAGCTGAAACAGTTTCTTAAATCACAGATGGTCTATTTTATTTAGTCATGATTTTTATTAGAATTCAATCAATAAACGTACAGATAACACATTCATGTTGGATGTGTAAAAAATTTGTTTAAAGAACTAAGAAAATATTTTAGCCATTATCCACTGATTTAAGTTGAGAGTTTAATAATTTAATTATTTCTTATTTCAATACAACGATTATAAGGATTTTTATTCATTTTTATGAACAAATTCCTTGTCACCTATCTGCTTTAGGCAATTGAAATATGTCAAGTTCGTATAACGGAAATATCTTGTTTTTTTAATGATAAGAAAAAAAAATGAGCAAAGAAAAAAAAAAAACTTGAGGCACGTTTCAAAAAAATAGTGAAATTCCGTTATAATTTTAGTTACGTCTAAAGACAAAGAGAAAAAATAATGTATAACGTATAGCATTTATTTTCTATTTTTTTGTCAAGTGGGTCATGCCGCTTTTTTTTTTTCAAGTAATTCCGGAATAAGAAAATATATATGCAATGTGAAAAAATTTTTCTTAGAAAAAAAGATTAATATGATTGATGAAAAATCCTAAATTGAACACATTTCGACTTTCAATAGCATCTACCTGTATGAGAATATCTTCTCGCCTTCGTTTTACAAACTTATTTGTAATTGCGGGAATAAAAAATCAGGATAATATAATATTTAATGCTGGGAACGATAGAATACACTGTCATAAGCAAGTGTGTATCAGAAAAAAAAAAGACATTGAATATCAAACACATAGAATACAAAATAGCAAAGTAAGAGTTACTTTAATTTAAAATAGTGACTCACAACAATATGTATTCTATTATAGTTATATTTGTGTTAATCTTCCATCATGAAGTCCACTTCGACTATCATCACTTCCATGATCACTATACTGTGATGTGTCAAAACAACTTTCATCGTCCGATGGAAAACTCATTAGACTATCATAGGTACTTGTTGGAACAATACCATTAAAATCATGTGGTGGTCCATTTAATGTAAATGCGTCTGACACTGTTTTCCATGGTCCACCATTAATATTAAATTCTACTAATGTTGGTGGTGGTAAACCAATAGACATGTCATTGTGAACAGGACTAGAGGCAATCAATGGGATACCATGACCAAGACTAGTTAATACCTGAAAAAAAAAAGTGAATAACTTTGAATAATCAATTGGTAAATGCAGACAGATGACAGATGGACAACGCCATCGTGTGCTCTACATTCTTTGTCAAAGAACACATACATACATGAACAATTGTTACTTTTAATTTTTGCATTAAATATTCATTTCATTTAAAAGCAGAGAGTTGGAGTTCAAGTGAAAAAAAAAAGAAAAGAAGTATGTCAAGGACATTTGGATGTTCAAAGGAACAGTTTTTAGAACATTAAAATAATCTTTTCTATCGTTAGAGAGGAATTTTAGTACTTACTTTCTGTTGTTCTTGTGTTTGTTTTGCCAATATACTTTTTTTCTTATCTTTACAACGTTTATTTTGAAACCACACTCTAATGACTCGAGGACTGAGTTGAGTCATTTCAACCAATTGTTCTTTCATTAGTGCATCCGGTCTAGGATTTGCACCATAACATGTTCTTAATGTTAATAATTGTTTTTCATTTAAAACCGTTCTCATACGAGTCGTTTTATCTTTACGTTGACTGTGGTTGCCATTATTTCCACCGTTATTTGTTGTTGTTGTAATTGTCGACGATGAAGACGTAGAAGACGATGACGATGTTTGAGGGGGTCGATGAACGGTCGACGATGAAGCATTGTTAGCACTATTTATTGTTGATGGAACTATGGCTGATAAGGAATGATCTGAATAGAAAATAATATTTATATAATTTTAAAGTATAATTATTCATTTTTACTAATTTAAACACAAAAATTATTCTCTTCATAGATATAGACTCTATTACTATTTCAGGACTCTCTTTGTTTTAGTACACCATATTTTAAACAAATTTATGTGTGCATAATGTTAACTGTCATAATGTTCAATATGTTTAACAAAAATGAAGTCGTCTTTGACTTGAGAAGTTGAAAATTGACTTTAGTCATTCATTCATTCATTCATCGGTTTCTCTTTCATATATATTTCAAATCAGTTAACTTTATCTCTCTATCTACTAATGTATATATGAAGATGTTTCATTTAATTTTCTCTCTATTCTCAATGGATTTCTGAAATGTTGTTGTCATTATCCCCATTTGACTCTAATATTGAGAAATCATTTATCAAACATATCGAAATGCGTTCTTTCAACTATTCAATGTCATTGAATTGAAAAATACATATGTGAGTGTATTAACGATACATATGCGTCCTATTTTAAGTTTAAAAGAGAAAAAACCAATGGAGAAGTTCTCTGTAAAGGGTGGCAAGCATCGTTGATCATTTACTAAAGCATTTTATTATCATTGTCCCCTTCTATACTCTGATAATAGTACTTATTATTGATTATATAGGACTGTAAAGTATAATTAATGCCTCATAAACACGTGCATTATTAAAGCATCCGGTTATAGAAGAAAATCTTTCTTTTCCATGTTATTGAAGGAGAAAGAGTCTATTTTTTTATTTTCTTTGACTTTTTGTCTTTATTCGTGACATGGTTGTCAAACGTTTTTTTGTCCATATATTCAAATGTCTATATGAACTAATTATACATGAATGATTAGTATGACAATGAATTGCATATATACTGATCCGACATCCGTTTTATACTTCCGTCATAACCGGAATTGTTCTTCCCGTCGCAACAGCAACTTTTATACAACGCTTTTTTTTAGTAGCACAAAAAAATGTACGACAATAACTACCTGACACGAAGTTAAAGTTGCTATGTACTTACTTTTACCATTTTTTGATTCACCACAATCGTTTGTTCTTGCGGGTGAATTTGAAATATTTTCTATTTGATATCTATTAGTTTTTTCTAGTTGATCATGATCTGCTCGACAATAAATTTCATTCTCTTTCAGTGAATATTCATCACCTGGTAATAATAATTTATCACATATATCACAACGAAAACATTCTGTATGGTATATTTTATATTTAGCACGCATAACAAAATCATTTCTTGTAAAATTTTGATGACATTTTGAACATTTGGATGTAAATAGTCTAAAAGATAAAATTACAAATGGATGGATAATAATGTCTAAAAATTTAAATGAAACAATAGAAACAATATTTTTTTTGAAGTTAATTTGTTAATATTTCTTAACAAATACTTTTATGTTTAAATAAAAAGTTATATTGACGTCTTTCTCTCGCATGATTCTAAAGACTAAAATCTTTTTTTCTATTTGAAATTAACTAAAACTTCGTGTTTACTAGCTTTTATTTTTAGATAGATAATTAAACTTCAATATCATTCTTCTTGATAACTCATTTCTGTTGTATATTCTTCTAAAAATCTTCATTTGTGGTTTATTGAGCAGACATCCGTTTATATATATATATCTGTTAGTTAAGATGACTTTTATCTTTTCTTTCAAGTAGATGAAACTAAAAGATAAAACCGCACTGTACACACTTATCGTAATATAATCATCATCATAAGATTATTTATTCATATAGAAAGATTCTCTTTGTGTGTATTGAGCTGTAAAAAATTTTAGTCAGAAAAAAATGTGATTGTTGAAATGTCATCAATAGCAAATGAGCCTTATCATTTACAGATTCATCAGTCAACATACTCATCGCCGAACAGTTTGACCTTTGGTAAAAAGTATTGAGAAATAAAAAAAAGAAAAGAAAAGAAAAATTTATTCTGGCGTGAATGTGTTCCGTAGAAAAAAACGTTTTTCTGCTAGAATAGTAAATTAGGCAGAACAATAATGAAGATGTTATTTTGGCACATGTGTATGTGTATGTTTCTACTAAATTCTCAATGTGATATACTTTCTTTCTTCATTTATATAAAGAGCAGCTTGCCTGCGAATATAAAAAAATTATAGTGTCAATAAGACACAGAAACTATTTTATTTCACTTCTCTTCTTTTGTAAAACACTTAACAAAATTAGTTCAATATACACACATAAAGATGGAGAAAGAATAAGTTTACAGATTACATGATAAACACTATTATTATCGCCATCATTCTACTATAGGGAGAAACAGATGAACAACGAGAGTTTTCTAAATTGGTCGAACTAAATATTTGGATGAAATCATACACGCACATCATGTCAGTCATACGTCATCCATAACCTAATTTAAGTGGATCATCACAATGGATACATAAGACTTCTCTCGTGTCATATATATATATTTTTTATTTTTTATTTTACTTCGGTCTGATAATTTGATCGGCATATTGATCAGTGACAATTTTAGCACATACACCTCTAAGAAGATGGACGGTAATAAATGATCATCTCGATGTGTAATTATAAAATTATCTGAATGACTATCTTTAATGATAAAATTGAATCGTGGATCCGGTTTGTCTGAAGTTTAACCATTTTAACACCGTACGCACAAGAAAAAAGAATCAATTCCAGTTAGTGTGTTAAAGGTCTATAGCACATCGACATATACAAATTAGAATCCCCGCCCTTCGCCGATAAAAACATGAAAAAGACTTATTTGTGTCAAAAAAAAAAAGGTCACACATTCGCATTGTACTTTACCTTGTATAATCCATTTTACAATAAGTTTTACCATCCCGAACAAAACATGTTGTATTTTCATCCAAATATTTTCCACATTCATTACATTTTAAACAACTAGCATGCCATTCCATATCAGGGGCTACTTTCAAAATAAATTTATCCAATATTTGACAACCACAACCAGCACACATTGACACCGATTTTTCTAAAAGAAGACGAAAAGTTTCATGAGCTGTTCCGATCAACTGTCTATATGAACCTGCGTGCTAGCAATACTATTCATGTGATGGATTGAACTATGTATTGTGAAAAAAAATTTCTCATCTGTATCCTTTCAGTCTGAGGACGCTGATCATCATGATTATGGTACAAGATTGGACAAACTCTTTAAAGAAAAAAATGATTAAAGAAAGCATTTGCGCTAATTATTATGACATTTTGCCTTGGACGATGTATCATTAAATTTTATGAAAACTGAGATATGGAATCTCATAGAAGAACTTGCACACTTAATATGTGAGTGTACGAACAATTGTTGTTCCTAGATTAGATGACAACGACGAAGAATTGATAAATAAACCGATTAATCAAAATATACAAAGACTTGTCCAAACGTGTACGGAACAAATAGTCAAGAAGAAGAGCAACCACTTTTGATTGATCAAACAATACTTATTGCTGCTCTAACCCGGTCGGATGTATGCCTAACTTGGGTAAAGTTTGGAAAAACGATCGGATTCTCAGTATTCATCGGAGGAGACGTGACAGTAAATAAGTGCTAACTAAAGCAGAGGCTTTAACAAATGCAGATAAGTGTCTCTCAACGGAAAGTAATAGTCATTTTCAAGAAAAATACTAAAAGCGAATACAAATGTTCAAACAAGAAATGTAAAAAGTTATTCAAGCTCCAAGGAATAACGAGTCATGTAATATCATTAAAATTATGTGCAAAAAAAACACTACGGGCGAACATTACCATGTATTACATGAAATCTTTCTGGTCTCCTTGAATGCTCCCAAAATTAGACTTATTTGAGAGATTTAAAAAGTTTATCCCATTTGAATTTGACCCTTGCAATCTACGTCCTACACCATAATAGATAAATATTCTTTTTTCTCTCTCTCTCCAATACATTAGTTATTCAAAACTGATCTTAGTCGTATGTTATTTTCAGGAATAGAATTTCGTATTTGTCATCAAAACCAAGCAAGTCTCTCTTAACTGAAGTGTGTATAAACTATAATCAAAAAAATAACAGAAAACATTTTCTAACTAAATTTTTCGATATGTAGCGAAATGTTTTTGATAGTTACTGCTACTATGTGCATCTAATTCAAATACTCTCATATGTCCGTGCCGGTTTTGCATCAATTTTTATGACACTTACCAGGACATGAAAGGCCATTTTGTGCAACATCAATACAATAACGATTTGGAAAATATCGAGAAAGTTTCAAACTGTTCTTCATTGTATATTCTTCTGAAAAAATATTTAAAAATAATTTGAGATTTAAAAAAAAAATGATCATATTTCAACTATTAAAAGATTTATCAAACGAAGATGAATATCATAGAGCATAACGTACGATCTAGTAGAAAAACTGAATGTTTTTCGTTATGAGCAAATTTCTAATATCTTCCATTAGCACTAACTGACATTTATACTTACTAATTAGAAGTTCAGGCATGCACATATCGAGTATTATCCAAATAGTATCGATGTTTTATTTTAGAATTAAATTTTCTATATTTAGTCATAATTTATAAATTCGTATAAAATATAATGCTTGTCAGTTTTTGAGGTGGAGATTATCGTCTTAAAAATATCGTTTATCCGTTTTTTTCTACTCCCTTTACATACACATTACACTTTCTCTTTCCTCTCTCTTTCTCTCTCTCGCTCGCTCTCTAGAATATATATGCTTATCGCAATTACACTATTGTTGTTAATAATTTGTACACGATATTGACACAAAAATAGATAGACCACTCGCGTTCGTGTTTTTTTTGATAGGACCATTATATCTAATTTTCATTTTCTTTGGTTAAAAAGTTTTTTTTCTTTTCCGTTCCTAACAAACAAGTCTTGTTGTTTTCTATTCTGCCTACCTATATCGTCTGTATATAGAATAGATAGAACAAACATAGAAAGAGAGAGAAAGAGAGAAAGAAAAAACTAAACTATAAAATGTGAAGCGGACGATTTTCTCATTGGTCAAATGAACGAACAAATACACATAAAAAAAAGATGCTTGCATCACTGGACTTTTTTAATTTTTTTTGCTCCTCTCTGTTCCGTAAAAAAAAGAGAAATGAGAAAAAAACGGAAGTATTTCTTACTATATCTATTAGAAAGAAAGGAAAAAAAAATCTGAGTTCTTCTGTAGACAACTGCAGTACTAGAAAAAGACAAACTTCTTTTCGAGGCTAGATTTTTTCTTTCAGATTGTTTTTCAGCAGAGATTCAGCTCAAAAAATAGTTTGTTATATTTCAAATACACTCATTAAAAGTCTTCAGTCTACTAAAAGTTGAAAATCATTTTCTAAAATGTCTTTCACTCAATTTTTGACGTCTTTTTTTTGGTAAAACAAAAAAAAAAAAGCCTATAATCAGGATCTATTAAACAGGATTTTTAAGGAATATTATTATTTACTTGAATTCACTATTCAGTTCAGAATGTTAAATGTCATAAGTTTTAAATATGTGTAATATTTTTTGTTGTGTTGAAAGATGTTTAAAAACAGACGTCTTATTGTCAAGTTGATTATTTTCCTCCAGTTGAACATACGCTGATTAGAATCGGATAAAAAAGAAAGAGAGATTTTATATCGAGATCAACTAATCAAAATGACTGAAAAATAAAAATTTTGTTGTATTATTCATATGTTCTGTTTTATATTATTAAAGGTGACAAAATTGGTACCTCCATTTTCCTTGTCAGTCATTATTAACTATCGATGGGAGATATTTTTTTTTTGAGAAAAATAATAACAAAACAAGGTAAAGAATGTTTGAGATACTCTCTACGATGATAAAATATGTGTTAAACAGCAAATGTTCAATAAATTCTGTTTGTTTATTTTCAGTTTGTTTCAAAATAAATACTTTTATAATTTCTACTAATTGATATACGTAAGAAGCAGGCAAAAGTCGCTGTTGATGATAAAAACATGTATAACCATTTTAGAAGAAAAATATTTGACAGCTTCATTTTATTGTTTTTTACTTCGTAATCACTGATCATAGAAAATATTTTACATAATTGTTTTCAAAAACAATAATGTCTGTACAATTCAATGATTGTTGCACTTAAAGATTTTTGCTCATAAAGAAAGCATTGTATATATACGAGAGCGGTATAAATCTAAGAATACAGCCAAATGATTCCCATCTATAGAAGAGATGTTGACAAGTATTTCAATATGTAATAGAGAGTGATGTCTGCAAGATGAGTATATTAAACTAAGTGACTCGGTACTTGATAAACGTCGGCTCCACCTTCTTTCATCTTACATATTTACGCCTTTAGATTTATATTCTCTCGTATAGCAAGACAAAAAAATGGATGGATTGATATCATAATAGAACGAAAAGAGAAAAGATTCGAGTAGTGGTAGTAGTGATGATGATGATTATCTTTGCCGATAACACACACATAAAAAAATGAACGCTTTAGGCTTAATTTCTTGAACTCCACTCCATCTACTCTCTATATGTCCATTAGCACTTTTGTTTAAAACAGTGATTGTTCAATTCATTAACATTATATATTGATATAAACAAAAGAAACAGCTTTAGAACATAATTCATCAGATCAAATATCAGAAAAAAATGACTCATGTTGCCTCATTACAAGAAATAAAAACCTTATTTTTTCAATGAAAAGATTGTTAGTAAAAACTTACTTGGAATCTGAAATATTATAGTACTTGCCTCTGTAGGGAGTTTTGGCGAGGTTAAGTAAAAAAGAATTCAACATTATACTTAAACAGTTGATCGAAGAAATCGAACAGTTCTGTAATTCTAACGTATTTATCAAAGAACAAGTTTTGTTTAGAAACATATATTCAATTTCTTACTCTCACGTTCAGATTTATCCCAGTGATACTTGACAAACATAAAATATAGCACAGAATTTCAATACATATATTGATTAAACATCTTAGTGCGTATACACTCTTGACATAAGTTACATCTTCAGAAAGTCATTGAAAATTAGACATTTGGCGAGCGTTATTTAAATTAATTGAAACGTTTCTAGAGAAATAAGAAGCAAATATATGCATAAAAGTAATTTATAGTAAAAGTTTGTATCTATTTCACTTTTTGTACGAGATTCTGAGGATTAAATTCCACAATGACACAGACAATTTGGCGCATCTTCGTACTTGACATTAGTGTATGCGATATACAAAGACTCACTAAAACAAGAGACATTATTCTTAAAAATAATTCTATGAGAGTCATTTAGGTACAGATATCTCGCATAACTGGAGACATTGTTTACCATTTTTCGTGTGAGGATGAAAATTATAGGAGAGCTAGTAGAGACATATAGTATAAAACAAAAAGTTCGAAAATGACTTAGTATTTGACATTTCATCAAGTTTTGTCGATCCCCAAGGTAATGAGCAAATTTTTTATCCCGTTTAACTTAACCTACCGTATGTTATTATAAACAATATTTGATTAATGAACGATTAGTAATATCGATCTGAAGGGCAAATTGATTCATATGACAGCATCAATCAAACTCGTTTCCATAACAAAATTTTAACTATAAAAATCTTAAGTTTTTATAGCAGTTTTAACACTTTGGGAATATCTCACTGAGATCTTTAGTTTAACTGATGATCGGTAGATTTGATGATTAATAAAGTTAAACTGTTTTCGTTTGGTTAAAAGCGTCTAATCGTGTAATAATTATATAATTAAATCACATCTCGGCTGTTTGTTTTCCGCACGATAACATATTTATATCGATGTATTTTTCGTTTTTAATTCAATCGTTTGACGTGTTTAGACTCCACCGTGCATGTATGAAGTTAATAAAGATAGAATAAGTAGTTCTTTACCTTCACATATACACTCCGATTATGACCACCTCCTTTCGTTCAACTAATAGAAGATAATGTACTCATGCTGTGCAAAAGGAATCTGTACATTTTCGCGCGAGTAAGAGAGAGAATTGATGCTTGCATGATCATGCAAAGTATTTTTATTATCTTTTTCTATTTTCTGAAAGAAAGAGAGCTCAAATAGAGAAAGTTGATAAGATTTCATTTCCGCATCCGCTTATGCAATATGGCAACAAGGACACAGATCTTTACTTAGAGCACGTTTATCTATTCCAACCATATCAGAAAAAAAGAAAAAGATTTCTTTGTGGTTCACAATATAGAAGGTAGAATCGAAGGGAAAAAGCATCTATTCTACTTTTGACTCATGAATATTAACAAAATTGTTCCAGTCCGCCATCATTTGGTACCACTATATATTACATCTTTTCTAGGCTTGCTTGGGTGAAATTTCTTTTTGCCTATTTCTTTCAATAAAATCCGATCTATATAGATGAGTTGTCGCCATACAAAGTGGCTGAGAATGTTATAAACTTTCTTATTTTGTCTTTTGCTTCTTTGTACAGTCATTCCTAATTTGTCTCAAATAAAAATTCTATCCTAGAAAAAGTAAAAATATGTGTGAGTTTGAACATTTTTATGAGACATATCAGCTTTCTTCTTTTGGTATACATTCAAAAAAACAACATTGTACAGATCAGCATATTAAATTTCTTTTCACTTGACATCTGCTAAATATCATTCTACGTGCTGATTATCATTTTTTAAATCCAATTGTTGTAATCAGCTTTCCTTCTTTTTCCTACTTAATGTATTGTGCTGCATTGTGTTGTGGTGATAGTGATTATTATTTGAGATGATTTTTAATCTGTAACCAACAAGCATTTGTCACGAAAAAAAGTTGAACAATTGTGTTGACAGGTAGAGACCCAAGGGCGGAGTAACTAAAAAGTAGAATGTACATGGTTAAACGACGGTATGTATCTCACTATACATATGTTTCACGGAACATCCTTACTGCATAGTATAGTTTTTAAATCTCATTTCCTGTTCTATGTAGATAGTTCATTGGCTCAACAAAAGTTGAGTTTTATTGTGAATAAGATACAACTCGTGATTACTAGCCCTTTTCTTATGAAATTCTCGCGTACTACGAATAATCTATTGTTATTCGTAGAAGCGTTTTTCAGAGAAAAACGTTTATCTATCAAAGTATTATTTTGGTTAAAATATCAACAGATACTTTTCTAAAATTTTAGAAAAAACTGATCAAGATCACTTTTTTTATTAATTTTTATCCTTCTATAAAAGAATTCACAAATTTTTTCTTTTATCTTTCAGTACTGTTATATACCGTGCGTTGTACCGTATCTGCTACTCTAACTCTCCATCGTGACAATATTGCGTATCTTTTTAGAAACCTATATACTAGACAGTTTTTTTTCTGTAGAGATCCATAGAGCATTTTTTAATCATAGTCTATTATTATTGTTGAACATATTGTTTATTAAGAAAACAGCCAAATATTATTCACGTATTTAAAAAGAAAAACGATTTTGTCGTTTTTCTTGGAAACAAAAACATGCGCACACACACATTGACAAGGTAGAAGTTGTTTTCTTTAGTTTCTCTCTCTTTTTCTCTTGTCTCTCTATCTGGACACATAGTAGTAGTGCTTAAAGGCATATTCAATCATAAAACGAATTTCCAAAAAAAAATATAGTCCATATGTAAAATTTTTTTTTCTCCTCTTTGTGGTGATGATTAAATCTCTCTTCTCGATAATGGACGATAATTGTGCTCATCTTGTTCTATTTAAGGGTATATTTAGATGTATCCTTAAAATCAGTGTACAGCAATTAATTTTCAACATTAAAATATATACATTAGAAAAAAAAAAGAAAGGGAGCAATTTTTCATCTTTAGCGGTGAAAGCTTTCTGCCATAAACACAAAAGTCAACGATAATGATATTTTAAAAAGAGTAATATTTGTCTCCTGTTATATATTGATGAAAGTGCTAAAAAGACTTTTTTCTGTGAAATTTCACATTTGTTGAAGAATACTAAAAGAAGTTCAAGGATGATAACACTAAGCTTAAAGTTTTGCTCGATCCAATGGCATATAAACTGTATTATAATTAAAGGAACAGTATATTACTTTCTATAAATATTCATGTATTCTGCAGTTTTGAGCAGAGCCAGTTTCCTCTAAAATTCGAGTGAATAACATTGCGATAGAAAATAACATTAACAGTCTCTAAGGTACGATCCTGCAATAAACTAGCACTCTTTAACATATTAAACTACATTGAATCAAAACTGTTGTTCTGAAGAACGATTATATCATTATTTTTGAATCAGAAAATGTGAGTTTTCCTAAAAAACAACACTTTTCTGTAACTATTATGTTTACCGATGATTTATATCAAACTAAAAAGAAAAAGAGAGTGTGAAAAGTATGGTACTAATTATATATATAGTCAACGTTATATTACTTTCTAATGAATACTTCTCTATTGACGTAAGGAAATAATGCAGAGGAAACCTTGTATCTTATTGCATGATAATAGAAGCTACATTTTTTTGTTTGTGCATGCGATTTAGACGGGAGGAAATACAAACTGAGAGACTAACTACTTACGAACATATTAGCTGATAACACCAAGAATAATTACTAAAAAAACAAAAAGAAAAAGGAATATAATCACCGAACAATTATCGTCTTTGAGTATTGTTCGAAATTTCAAAATGATTGCTTTATATTAAATTCAAAATCTGTCATACGCATGCAAATCTTTTCAATTCAGAAAATATCGTTGTGGTCGGTATTTTTCTTTTATTCGACATTCAATACCGACCAGGGTTTCGTATAGTCCGGTCCGTCACCTAGTCGGGCCGGCCAGTAATCCATTTGGCCCAACTTAGTCACAACTTTCAAAAGGTTTAATGGTTCGAACTGGTCCTGGTTGGAAAATTCTTTAGAGATCTCTTTGTTTTTTGTTTATCGACCAGATAAATTTTGTTGAACATTTAATTAAGAAACCGTTTCTTTTCAGGTTTGCTAAAAATTGAAATTAAACTATTTTGCGTTACACAATAGAAATGGATCTTCAAAAAGGAGAAAAAAAGTTTTCATGGTCCGAAAAATTTATGGTCCGGATTGATTCTGGTTCCAAATTTTTTTATCAAAAATGGTCCGAAGCTGTCCTGGTCCCAAAAATTGGGATCAGACCATACGGAGCCCTGATACTAACCCTCGTTCTTCGCATCAGGGCGTAATTATGCGCTACTATTCCGATCAAAAATATTTCACAATCGATAGACTGAAGCATCTTTTGAACTCCTCTATCCCATGTATTAAAACTTCTTTATGATGCTAATCACTTTTTTTTGCACGAAGTCGCTGAATATCGCTCTTATAGCCTTTGTTTTTTCGCTCAATACCTTCTGGTTCTTCTGGTCTGTTCTCTTCCTTCACTGCGGTCTCATGATTTATATTCCAATCGGGATAAAATCCCGATTAGACTACAAATCCTGATCGAGAAATTCTACATAGCTCGATCGATTTATAAAAAAAATGAATGTTTTTTTTGGAAACTCATTTTATATTTTAATAAACGGATCATGCCATTAGAATGGGAATCCAAAACTGATTCAGATTCCATGGGGGTCGGCTATATGTATTGTTTAGGGTACTTTATAAAAATTTTATGAAAACTCGCATATCATGATCGGGATATAAAATATATCCGGAACGAACTGTTTTTGATCTTTTTTTGAGAACTTCCATTTTGGGAAAAAATGAAAGTTACTTACTGGAATCCAAAATCACTATTGGATAGAGCACTTAAAGCTGCATATGAATTCATGGGGATATCCAAAAAAAGAAAGGTTTTGTTAACATGTTGATATAGACTGCAAGACAGGAATTTTCCTACATATTGGAGGGTACTGAAACCATAGTTGAGAATACTGGTATTCTAGAATGATCATTTCACATGTTATTACTTAAGTTTACTAAAAGAGACTATTAAGCCTTACTTAGGACGATCAGTGGATGACCATATATATTTTAAATACTTTTCTTGGACATGTTTAGTAATATAGCCCTATCGAGACACACGGATATCCTGAAGGGGATATGTATCCCGATTGGAATGTTGATTATATTCCGATTGAGATATGTATCCCGTTCAGGATATACTCTATAGATCAATCGGAAAAATTATTCCGTTTGAGACATAAGACATGAGACCAGATTGTCTTTTAGAAACAAATATTGCATTTTCGAGAATATGATGACAAAAATCTCCTTTGATGTACCTTTGAATTTCTGTAAATGTCTGGTGTGAAAACGCCACAATCAATGCAAAGATTTTAAGTGTGTAATATCGGCATCTGTTCACTGAAGCGCGTACTATTCGCAGTATGTTCTCTAGAATGATAAAACTTAAGAACGAGCCTAATTCGAGTTATCTGGTCATGTACAATAATCATCAACACAATGTCGAGGCATTAAAACAATCTTAGACTGGACACCTAGAACGTGTTAAACGACCTATGATAATAGGCTATACGTACGTACAGACTACGTGCCTGCCCCCTGCTAAACAGCTATACTAGTAAGAATTTTAAAAGAGGTCGTCCGTTAGTTCAAAAAATATCCAAAATGACCAAATGGCAGCTTGTAAAGACGAATATTAAGTTGATTTATTGATATTTTGATCTTTTTATTGGGATAGGATATTTTTCTAATGAAGTTGAATAAACTGCTGTGTAACATCATATTTGATGAATTCGAGTTATACTTCCATTTAAATAATAAATTTTGACTCGAAAATCAGAAGAAACAAAGGTTTTCCAACGGTGACATCTAAATGTATCTGAGTTTAAAAGTGTAACGAACAGAATTATCTTTTCGTTTTTTGGAAACGAAGAGCCTTTATTTTTGTAATTTGCCTTCGTTCACCTGAACGATTTTATGGTTCAAAAGAGAATATTCGAAATATAGAAGCAGAGATCGCACTTAAACATATTGTTTGGTTTATTAAACTAGAAGCAATTTTTGTTCATTTTTATTAGACAATTTGCCATCAAGCATCATTTTTTGATAGTCTAATGGTGTTAGTGTGAGATAATCTGAACCTATGCAGGTTTTGTTATAAATAAATACTATAGGGAGCGAAACAATTTTCTGTTGCTAAAGCAACAGTAGATAAAACAGTAGATATTTGTGTCCCAGTCGAGAGTCCTGGAAGAAATCCCGCAGGATTTAAGTTTCACGGAATTCTGAGTGATTTTTTAATCCGTAGCTAATTCTCTGAGTTTTTCTTTCCAATATTCGGCCCAAATGGATGGGCCTGTTCTCATTCGACCTTTTTCTAGTGCAGTCATAAAACAGATCAATTTTCAAAAATCAATGTTGCTTACAAATTATGTGTATCGAGAAATAAAACGGTGATTGAGAGCTAACATGAGATTCCCGTAGCGTTTTTTTCTCACAATCTCATAGGAGTGAATAAAATTCTTCGAATCTTGAATTGTGATCGAACGTGTTGTGCTTGGATAGAAGTTTTCGACTATCAAGAATAAGCAAATGCTGCTTTAGCCTAAATTTGTATCTTCTTTTCATATCATTTATTTTTTAGAACAAACTTTGTACAAGGTTGGTAGCCCAGTTTTCAAAAAACAATTTACATTGGACCATGCCTTAATGCTCTTTCTGTAGATGCTCAGTTCATACTGAAAACATCAATATCGCAAATTTCACATTTCTTAGAAAACTTTCATCATATCAATGAGTTATGATCAAAGTCGTTGAACTAACATTACTCCGACGTTTTCCCAATTCAAAATAAATGAATATAACTCTGGCTCATTTAATTCTATTTAGATTGGAGTATGCATTCAGAATCGAATAAAACGATAGTAACATATTTGTCAGATCATATAAAAACACTACTATTAATCGTGCCATCGACTGTTGTCTTACTAACATGTTGTGTACGCACCTTAAGACGTTACCCGAATATAATTTGTATGGAAAATACACAACGTAACCTTCAAATTATTCGAACCTGTCCACAATTAACAGAATATCACCCGACATCATGGATTATAAATGGCCATCTAATGACAGTATTAGGCGTTATCTTTAGAAAATTACCATCGTTAACGTTCAAACGTGTGCTGCTAGCCGTTGAAGAAGGAATAATTGCCGTCGATTGGCATACACAGCCGTTACCTAAACAGCCTATATTACTACTACTCCATGGCTTGACTGGAGGAAGTCATAATAGTTATATACGCTATATGATAAAAGCGGCCTCAAAATCGGGTCTGTGTTGTGTTGTTACACATGCAAGAGGCTGCGGTCTCTCAGATTTAACATCACCCAGATCGTTTTCCGGTGCATGGACAGGAGATGTTCGTGAAACAGTAAAATATATAAGAAAAATTGTTGGACCGGACACACCAGTATTCGGTATGGGATATTCTCTAGGAGCTGGTGTTCTCACCAAATATATTGGCGAAGAAGGTATCCGTTGTGAATTGAATGGTGCAATTGCTTGTTGTCCAAGTTTAAATATGATATTATCAACAAATAAAATGGAAAAATGGTTTAATAGTCTACTGTATAATCGACTTTTGACATCAAATTTAATTAATTATCTTCGACGACATGAAAAACATTTTACCAATAGTGATATTATTGACCTGTCAAATGTTTATAAGTCACGAACAATACGAGAATTCGATACACGTGTAATTGTACCAATGTTTCGTTACCGTGATGTTTTTCACTATTACGAAGACGCATCATCAGCAAAATATTTAGAACATATAAAAATACCAACATTGATACTGTGTGCCGTTGATGACCCAATATGCGATGTTAACGGTTTGCCAATGGAAACAATTCATAAAAATGATAATATAATAGCGATTAAAACAAAAGAAGGTGGACATGTTGGATGGTTGACAGGTTGGTGGCCAAAAACTTATAGTTGGGAAAATAAGGCGATTGTAGAATATATTAATGCTAGATTAAATGAAATGAATTATGTGTGGGAGCGAAAAGAAGATCCATTAATAGTTGATACGTTTTGATTAAACACATAATTTTTTCGTAACGTCTGATAACATTATATTCTGGTTGTCTGTTGGATTAAGCATACTTTTTCCTTATCAATCTATATCTATAATATAATAAGTTTCTCTCGGAGTCTACAAAAAAGGCTCTCGTACCTATGCAATAAAAAATATAATTTTTCCAGGCAAATATCGGATGGTCCAGATAAAATCGGACACTTTCATTCGTTGTTTTTGAGGCAGTGTCCAGTAGTCCAAAGAGTTTATTCTAAGCTCAGTTGATAAAGAATTGAATTCTCTACAAAACCTGCTATTTGAATCTCTGATAACATATTTTTCGTTTGAGCACCATTCAAAATATTGAAGGGTGCTGAGTTATCAAATTACGACAAGCTTTTATCGTCTCCTTTTTTGAGATTTTTAGCCCAGAGGTTCAATAGTTCACTTATCTACATAGATAGATAGAGAATTTTGTGTTCTATCGATCTCACTTCTTTACAACTTCATACAATGTTTCTGCTACGCCAGCTGGAGCTCTCAATTGGCTTTTCAATTTTTTCAAATTAAATTAATTTTTTTAATTAATGGTTTTAATTGAGAAACCTTGTTTATATATCAAACGATGCAGAATTTAATTCTGTGTAAGGTAATAAGACTAAAACCCTGGATTCAGAATGTTTTACTGCTTTTATAATCGAAAAACTAAAGTCTGTGAAAAATAGGTTCAAAAGTTAGGTTTTTTGGATTTATCAGTTTTTTGCACAGAGAAATTTTCCTAGAAGACTTAATCGTAAAATTTCGAACAAAAGGTGTGAGAGTGATGTAGAATTTTCCATTAAATCTTCTGATTTTTTCGAAATTCTTATGGAATCTGTTTTTCGATCAAGGCAAATATTTTTCTATTTTCACTGTGTCGCAGTTAGGCAACTCAGCACTCTTCAATATTTTAAATGGTGCTCAAACGAGAAAAATGTTATCTGAGATTCAAATAGCAGGTTTTGTAGAGAATTCAATTCTTTATCAACTTAGCTTAGAATAAACTCTTTGGACTACTGGGCACTGCCTCAAAAACAACGAATGAAAGTGTCCGATTTTATCTGGGCTATCCGATAACAGTGAGAATTCAGATTATTGATCTTTAAAAATTGTTCACCTTTTTTTGTTCAAGTATCTTTCACTTCTTCTTTTGCTTTCAATTCTTTCCCACGTGAATAGGTGTTAATTCTGTATGTACTTTTCCTATTTCTGTATGAACAAATAAAACTATTGGTTATTAATATGCACGGTTATAAATCATTCACGTCTGCCTTTTTAGTGGCATTTTTCGTTCAGAACAACTACTATGCTTATTAGAATAACATTTTTATATACAAAAGAATAATGTTACAGGAGGAGGTCAATTTGTTTTTATTATTTGTCGTGGCATATAAATTTTGCATAATTGTTAAATAACATCATAAATACCCACAATGGTAACGATATGACATATGAATATAAATTCGACAGATATTTAAGTTTTAAGCATATTAATATCTTAACTAACAATCTTTAGTAGCGTAAATAGTAGAAAAAAGTCTCAAAATGGTTTTGATTAAACCATATTCTAACTAATTCATATACGACAACAAATAATGAGATGTAGTTAAATAAATTCAAATTTTATTAATATTAAATATTAATTTTTTGAGTTTTAATATAACTGTTATCAAATAAGAGAATAAACAAGAAAAAAATAATATTATACGTCAACTGAAGCACATACTCATCTATTTATGTCAAAAATCAAAAAATGAGGTTTAAATTAAAAACCAAATGATGAGGTTCAAATTTACTTTCTATACCCTTGTGTCAGATTAGATATTTTAACAATATCGAACTACGTAGATGTGATTTTTCTCCACATCTGCAACTCACAATGTGATCACAGTACACGATCGCTCTTCTTTTGAGAGTCAATCAGTAGGAAAAGAGTGTTCGAATGGTCAAATTTCATGTATTCTAAAAGATTCACAAGTTATGCCTGCTGTCCAATATAATTCCTAGACTAGCATATGTGTACTCACTTTCGCACGATCAACGGAAAGAAGCGCGAATGATGCTTCCGTCAGAAGCACTTATAATTGATTCGATAATGGTGGACAAATTCATATTCTATACACTATCTAAAAACTGGAGTACTCTTTTAAAATGTTCGAAAATGTTGTGTGTTTATAATGTATCTAAACATCAAGTTGTTATATGAAACAGACTTTGTGACAATTTTTATACTTTCGATGGATATCTATATGTTAAAGTTTTGTCATTGTCAATCTGATGTCAATGTGAATGAAACACGAAAAGACCATTGAATATTGTCTTTTAGAACGGGTTGTATCGCTTACAACAAAAAATTCTATGAAAGAAGATTTCTACCCGATTAGCCTCCAACGTCAAATTGAACAGTGTCACAAATCGAGTGTTTATTATTTCAAATAAAATAGTTAAACTAATTATTATTTTGAATTATTCGATATGTTTAGAGTTATCAAATCAACATTCGTTCTCAGTTTATTCATGAACATTTTATTTATTCAAGTCATCCATCTAAATTATCACATAGTCTCATAGATAATCTTCTTGTCTCACTGCAAAGTGTTTAAAATTGGATGAAAATTAACTATTACAGTTTTGTATACAATTTATCTTGTAAAATTTATTGCATACCAAGTAGATGAGACTTTTTTTTATTCAATCTCTCCAATTGTTACTGTTTCATTCATTTTTGATTGTTTATTTGAATGCACAGTATATTGATAAGTATAGGATAGATTAAAGATAAAGATTCAATGTAAGTTTATGTATATTTTTTTGCATATTTTCAAATACAAAAAAAAGATAGAGAAAAAGATCGAAACAAAAAGAACAGATAACCGCAGCGTATTTATGTATAGAGGAGAACGCGCGCGCGCGCGCGCGCATAACATAAACCGTTTCATAAGGAAAATTTTACGAGGCAACAAGAAAATGAAAAAACAAACAGACACATGAATAAAAATTAAATAATAATAATGATATAATAATAAGCCAAAAGCCAAACAAACACACAGAGAAAAACACACGCACTCACTCATACATCAATACATTAAAGCAGCCGAATAAAAACTATGTATATGTATATGTGTGCGTATATCGTCTATATGAAAAGAAAAAAAAATACGAACTCAAACAGCTCAATAGAGTAGTAGGTTTCAAAAAAACAACAACAAATTAACTTAGGTAAGAAAGAGAGAGAAAATGTGACAATGACAACGTAAAATATAAACTATGTAGTTAGAATTGCAGATAAATGTGCAAAAAAAAATTGTTTGATATAGAAAATATGGTGATAAATTAAGGAAATAAGTTTAAAGATGACCGTGATAATAACAAGAGCGAAGTGACGTACGCGCACAAGAAATGACAAAAAATAAAATGATAATAATTTTGTTAATAAAGTGGTTTACAATGACACTTATTAACTATGACGACGAGATGATAATATTTTATTTATCGCTGATTATAATCTCTTTGATATTCCTTTGTTGACTGACCATTATGTGACATATAGGGTGAATGTTCGATATTATTGGTAATATAATTCGAGGATGTTGATGATGAGGATGATGATACTGATTTATTACTATTAAAAGATGCGGATGCTTGGTGAACATTTGGATCAATATCAACTACGTAAAGACAAAAATAATCGACTTAAGTTATTAATAGTGACAGCAATTTGAAAGGATCTAAGTGAGCCGTCACATTCATCAAAACTACCAGTATGTTAAGAAAAAATATATCGTCTCAATATTTGATTATCCTATTACTCTGATTGATACAGAATAAGCTTAGCGTCTTTAAAGTACATGACGTATCTCATCTCTCAAATATTTCTGATAGGTCAATTTGCAATTTTATCTCTAGACATTATCTTTTGAATGGATAATAATCTAAGAAAACCTAACTCTGTAACAGTAGTATATTTGGAAGATTCCATTTCTGACATCCAGATCATTCTCCGAGAGTAGAACATTAAATGATGGAACAAACAAGCCTCAAAAAAGAATGCATAAACAATTATTCAGAACAGAAAGCGTGTACGAATAGAACAAGAAATAATACTATGTATGTCTTTAAACGAGAGAGATGAGGAAGTTTCTCATTCAATTTCTGTTTGACTATGACCAGGAATGAAACGTTTGGGACATAACCATGTGGACTGAGCGTGTTGTACCATTGAGAATAGACTCGTACAATATTATTACCAATGATTCTGTCAGTTAAAGAGTCTTTGTGACGTTTAAATAATCGCCTGTAAATTCTCGTTTTAGATTTGTTCGGTTCATCATTTAATGTTCTACTCCTTGACATGATTCAAAATGTCGAAAATAAAATCTCTCAAATATATTTCTTCTTCTCTGTTATGTTTCCTTAGATTATATGGTCATATCTAAACAATGCAAAGAAAAAATAGATTATTTTCTTACGTTTTGTAGACCAATCACCACTACCACCAATAGACGTAGTTGGTCTTTTAGCATCCATAACATTTGTTGTTCGTTTTCTTTCACTTCCAATAGCAGCCGGCACTATTTTACTATTATTATCACCTGATCCACTGGTTGACGCGGTATGAGATGACGCACTGGATGAAGATGATGTGATCGATGATGATTGTTGCATATTTTTTGTTGGTGTTACATTTGTACTATTTGCATTAGATGAAATAACGATAAGATTATTATTATCTGATAGACCATTCATTGATGATGACGAAGGAGGAACTGAATATAGATTCTGACTGCCGCCATTAGCAGCATATATTTTAAATGCTGCTGTTGTTGAGTCGGTTATAGTTGGATCTTTTAAATCAACATAAATAAAAGAAACACAAATGTAAACGAAGCATAAAAGAGTATACTTTAGATTTTACCTGCTGAAGGTCTAAAATTAACATCTTGACTATGGTATGTTGCATTTATTGCATCTGTTTTATTTAGAGTATCATTCATCATCGGCATATGTTGTTGCTGTTGTTGTTGTTGTGTATCGTACATATTGATATTTTGATTTGTTCGAGACAAATAATTTGAATAGTAATAAGCAACTACTAAAGCAGCAGCCGTATTTGTATCAGCGGGTAACTGACCATTGGCCGCGAGTGTATTTGCTATTTGAAATAAAGATGGAGACCACTGAGATTGAGGTGGAAGTTGTGGTGGTTGCGACGTGATTGTTTGCTGTTGTTGCTGTTGCTGAATACGATAGAAATTTTGTAATTGCTGTTGAATTGCAGCCGTTGATTCACTATCTAGGTGTTGTCCAAGAGGAGGTGCTATAACTGGTTGTACAAATGTTCCTGTTGGAGCTGTGATAAACGGTTGAGATGGAACATATTGGTGTATTGTTGTTGGTGAAGGTGTTCCATTTTGTTGTTGTTGCTGTTGTAACAGTTTTTGTCTCTCTTCAACCATTTTGGCTATTGACATGATATTGACAGACATTGGTTCATTTGATTGAAATTTATTCGGATATGATCCCATTGGACGTGTACGAAAATCTGGAGCGTTTGGATTTAAACTGCTTCTACTTCTCGATGACAAATTATTTTGTGTATAATTCATCATATTTGAGAACGACTGTGGTGGATTATTATTTGCTGATGATGTTCTATATAATTTTGTTTGACGTGGTTGTTCACAAGTGGCAGCAAGTTTTAACAAATTTTCATTCAAAACAGAAGGCATTTCAGGTGGTCGTTGAGAACCAATTGGGCCAAATGATTTATGTTGATTGTTATTATTGTCTAATGATGTGAATATATTCGATTGTTGTTGTTGTTGTATGTGTGACGGTAAAACAATTGGATAAGATGGTATTTGATTATTTGCTACGAGTACTGTTGGATCGTTTGACCCAGTTTTAGTGGATGAAGGTGAGGAAGACGTAGATGAAGATGATGATAAATTTGCAATGCAGCTACCGCCATTCACAGTTAAGATATGTGGTTGTTGAACTTGTAAATGTGGATGGTATGAACGATCATCGATAGACGTTGGCTTTATTGAATTTATTGAAGGAGAGACTTGTTGAGAATGCAAACCACGATTAGAACCAGGTGCACGACTGATTGTTGGTGATATACTGTCCCCAATATGACTATTAATGCTCTATAAAATAAAGAAAAAGTATATCAATTAGCCAGTAACTCATCGAAAGATAAGTATTAATAGTACAAATAAGTGATGTTTTTATCTCTGGTTGCCTCTTAATCGCAAGTAAGCTTACCGCTGTCAATGATTGTATATGCTGATGACTAGGTGTTGTATTTGTGCTTGGTGGACGATAGCCTGGAGCGATTTTTGGATCGGGAGGTGGCGGTGAAGGTGGATCAATAACGTCGACATTAATTGTTACTTGTTCATTCTGCTGCTGTTGTTGTTTAGATGTAAGAGACAAATTTGTTATTGTTTGTTTTGATTGTGATGATTGAGCAGTAGTTGTGATGACACCCATTTTAGCAGCATTAGCAAAATTCATTTTTGGAACATTCGATACAATTCCTGCCGTCTTGTCTTGGTCATTATTATTTGAGCGTAATTCTTTTCTTGTGAATGCATCAACAACAGTCGTCAAAATATTCGTGCCGAAAGGATTGTAGTCACCGGGTGATTTTGGTATCTGTGTCAATGTATTGATTGGTGTTGTAGGTGTCGATGTCGTAGTAGAAATAGCGAGTAATGGTGTTGCTGATATATCTACAGAAGCCGGTTGACTTGTTACTTGTAAACGATAAGAAGTGGTTAAACCAGGTTGAGCTGGCTCTGATGCTACAGTTTTCATAGATGCTGTTGTCATTGTTGACACTATGGTTGTAGCCGTTGGTAAAGAGGCACTATTGGTCGAATAACAATGCTCAGATGAAGAAGAGCTCGATAATGAAGAAGACGATGTACTTGGAACTTCTTTCTGTTGTTGTTGACCGGGATAAATTTTATTACTATTGGTTGTTGTAGATGATGATGAGTATTGTTTTGTATTGCTATAGTGATAAGGTTGATTGTGGTAGGAATTTGAATAATTATAGTAATAGGATGAAGTAGGAACTGCTGACGATGGCATAGAAGACGTAGAAGTATTTCCAGAAGAATTAAACGATGATTTTGATGCGGGGAAATGACTGGATACTGATGACGATGATTTTGAAGCATTCGTAGTATTCCATGCACTTCCTGATGAGGTTATAGCATTTTCACCCCGATTAGCACGATTTGATCTATTCGAATTGATCCATGTGGCTCCAATAGCTAAAATATCTAGAAACTAGATGAAGAAAGGCATGGGGTATTTCTAATACCTACCCGAAGGAGCCTTTGATGACGACGACGTTGAACGAGAGGATGTCGTCTTTGAACTTTTTGTTGACGTTGGAGCAGTCGTAACAGATTTGGTAGTAGTTATGAGTGTTGTACTATTAGTGATTAAATTTGATTCTAAAAATAAACAAATTGAAATTCTTCTTCTCATCTCGTAACTAAGAAGTGAATGCACGTACCAGTTGATGAATTATTTTGGAATCTTGGTCCAACGTTCGTATTTACAGCAAGACTTGTCGTTCGTGCCCGTTGTGTTTTATTGGTAGAAATATTCAAATCATGTGAATTATCTGTAATCAGCGACGACGAATCAGTAGTTGAGGCAATTGTTGTGTTTGAATTTGTCGTATTTGCTGAAGATGTGTTTCCACGAGTCGTTTTAGCGGTATTTGGTAGCAAACTCATCAGTTCTGATTCGGAATTTTTCAATAGTGCCATTATCAACTGGTATGCATGTTTGATTGAATCACCATTGCCTCTGAATAGAATATTATTAATATTAAAAACAGTACTTGTAACTAATTTCCTTCCTCTACTTACTTAACTACAATTATTTTATCTCCAACAGCTCTTTTGTTTTCAACATCGATAGAGGCTCCTGTTACTTCTCTTAACACGTTCAAATTACAACCACTACGTCCAATAACTCTTGAATATTGTTCATGTGGAATAGTGACCTTCTTCTGTTTACCAATGACTTCTTGCCATCCATCTTCGCCCATTGTTATTGTTGGTGTTGTGGTCGTGTTCGTGGTGGAAGTCAGAATTTGCATTGTTTGCTGTGATTTCAGTGTTTGTTTTGTTGCATCGATCTGTAGTTTTACGTTGACCAATGGGTTTGGAAGAAATGGTGTCATACTTTCCACAGTAGTTGAGGTTGATTCAACTGAATCTATTTGTTCTGTTGGTGCAGCAATAGGCGCAGATAATTCAGTTGACTTTTGTTGTTTCTGTTTAGTCGATTGTTGTTTTGGTACTGATTGTGGTACTTGTTCATTAATTATCGGCTGTGGATTATTATTAACCACTAAGGATTTTTCTTTTGTAAATGCTAAACGTTCGAATTTTCTACTTAATGAAAGATTATTCGGCAGTGCTTTTTTCTTCTTTTTATTATTATCATTGTTCGCAGCTACCATTGTAGCTGATGTCGAAACTTCCGGTGTTTGTTCTACTGTTGATGATAGTCCACTGCTTGATTGTGTTAATATACGTTTCTTTTTAGATGATTGTTCAACGATGGGAGATAATTGAGAAATTACTGTTGTCAATACAGGAGAAGAAGTTATATTTTCGACCGCAGTCATTTTCATTTTAATTCTTAGATCATCATCAACCATCAAAGAAGATGAGGTGATATCATCCTTTTGTTGTTTCAGTTCGATCGTGTTGTCTGTTTCTTGCGCTGGTGTTACAACATCATTTGTCATAGCGTTTATTGCAGTTGTGGTGGCGACGGGTGGCTGTTGTTTTTCTTTTTTTTTCATTTTTCGTTTTTCTCGTTTTTTAGCTGCTGCTAATTTTCGACATTCCTCACGTGATTTTTCCAAATCAATTTCTTTTAATAAATTATTTGCTGCTTTATTTGCTTCTTGAGCTTGACGTTCTTTTGCTGTTATTATTTGATCCATACAATTTTGACATTTTTTCAATAAATCCTAAAAGAAAGATAGTTAAATTCATAGTTCAAGAACAGTGACATTATAGACATACTTTATCAGTAATAGTAGTTATTAATCTTCTACAATCAGCATCAGATGGAAATTGTCTGACTTGTTTAACCATGTATTTAACAACTTTAATATGTCCTTTTCGAAATGCAGCCATTAAACACGATACTTTTCTTGAATCTTCACTGTCTGGATTAGCAAAACGTGATACTAATAATTGTACAACTTCTAAATGACCACCATTGCATGCCAACCAAAGTGGTGTTGCTCCTTTTTTATTTCGTACATCAATCGTTGCCCCATACAATAACAATAGTTCAACAAATTTATTATGACCTTTATCAGCAGCAATAGTCAATGCTAAAAAAGATAAATGAAGTGTAAAGGAAAAAGAACATTACTTTCTACTTTATACCTGTATCTTTTGACGTCGGAACGGGTGGAGCGTTAACATCGGCACCACGTTCTAATAAGACTCGGCCAACATCCACATAACCTCCAGATGCTTAAGAAACAGAATAAGCGTCGGTTATTTCAAATTAAGGACAAAATAAACAAAAAAATATTTTACCTGATTCCATAAGTGGTGTCAAACCCGTTTTAGCACGATGTTCAATATTAGCTTTACGATCAACTAATAAAGAAACTACTTCTGCTCGTCCTTGAAAACAAGCCAATGTTAATGCAGTATTGCGATTTGTTTCTATTTGAGCGTTAATATCTGAACCCATATCGAGTAAAAGTTTAACGGCAGCAACATGACCATTCATCGACGCTAACATTAATGGTGAAATGCCAAGTTTACTTCCGGTTCTAATATAAAAAACCATGAAACACCTTTTTCGAGCAAATTCTTTTAGTTGTTTAACTATACCTCGAATTAATTTCCGCACCATAACTTAGTAACAGTTTAATTATATTTACATAGCCTCCCGATGCTGCTAAACTTAATGGTGTATAATCTGAAACATTTCGGTGTTCACGATTGGCAGCTTTTTTCAATAAAACTTCCACAACATCTTGTCTACCACCACTACATGCTAATGATAAAGCTAGAAAGAACCGAAAACACTCCGTAGACAATATAAAAGAGCAGTCAGTTTTTATTACCTGTATCTTTTGTTCGCTCAGACTGAGCTTCTATATTTGCACCATTATCAAGCAAAATGGCAACGATTGATGAGTGACCAGCCGTAGCTAAGAAAGTAACCGAATTAATTCTAACAATAAATAAATAAATAAGCATTTACCTGCTAGTATTAGTGGTGTAAAACCTTTTTTATCACGGTGTTCGATATTGGCGCCACGTTGTAATAACAGTAAGACGAGTTCTTCATGGCCTCCGGCACACGCCAACGTTAGTGCTGTATCATGATTACTCTCTGTTTCACAATCAACATCAATACGATTGCCTGTAATAAATTTAACCATCACACCATATCTGGTCTAGTTTGCTTTTTTTTTCAGTAATACCTACCTAGTCTTAAACTTGTTGATGATGTTGGTGGTGGCTGTGGTGGTTGAGCTATAGTCTGTGAATTTTGTCTATTGCAAATTGATGGCATCAGAGTTGATTGATTCACCGACATACTGGTCAGCTCAGATGACGGAGGACATTCACCACAACAGTGCTGCTGCAGTTGCTCCATTTTTGAAGTAACACTGGCTAGTTCTAGATCGGCGCAATCGAGAATCGGATGATGATAATTTTGCTGATTCGGTGAAATTTGTTGTTGAAAAAGTTGTGGCTGTAGATAGTGCTGCTGCGAGACTGTAGGAGATGGTGGTGAGAATGTCTGAATATGATGGTGATGTCCATCTTCGCATGAACATCGAGGAACGGGATTTTGATCATTCGTTGAAGGAAAATAAGCTGTGTCATCGACTGCTACATTTAAATGACATGACGGATCTTGAGCAAGTATAGAAGGACCGCTTGTCGTCATAATCGGTTGATATAGAGCTAAAACAAAAATATCGCGCCATTCTAATAAAAATCATAACTACGCAAAAAAAATGAGCTGGATAGTCTATCTCTATATCCTCTCTGTTCCATTGCTAAGACATCACAAGCCCTGCACTTTATTTACGAGCTGCTTATTTATTATTACAATTCATTGACATTCTTCAGGATAGATTACATGACTAAAAACTGTAGATTACTGAAAAATATAATAACTACTCTCACACTATAAATTGATTTGAAACTTACTCGAAGAATCGAATTCATCATTTCCAACTGGTAACGGATATAAATTATTGAAATGTTTTGATTGCAGAACAATATCTGAAGACATTAAATTAGAATCCATAACAGAATTTTGTTCTTGTTGTTGTTCGACATATGGAGTAGTTTCAACGGTGTTATACTGCTCAGATTCACTTGTAATCCTAATATTCTGTTGTTCATTCTGCTGTTGTTGTAAATTAGCTGGAGTGAAAGGCGGTAATGTCCTCAACTGATCAATAAACGACTGATTTGCGATTTTCTTGATTTCTTGAATGAAATTTGGATTATTCGCTAATGTTTGAATCCGTTCTAAAGCTGATGGATTACTAGCTAATTCTCGTAGATGTTCTAAAGCCTTTTGCGTATCAGTATTTATTTGCATTGGAATTTTATTCGGATTAGACGGTAATGATATCTGCGATAATTTTGTTGGTGAAGACGAAAGAGTGTTGGATATGGTTGTTGTACATGTCAAAGGAGTGGCAGTCAATAGCATAGCTGTTGAATCTCCATTTCCATTTTTTATTTGCTGCTGTTCTTGCTGTTCGGGT